CCCAGGTAATCTCCCCCGGTGAGAGGCATCCTGTCTACTCCAGAAGTCCATGATCACATAAGGGATAAACCCAACACCCACGGGTATCTAGGCAGGAACATACTGTCTGTGGATATCCCCATCTTTGAAGCAACCAACCCGAGGGCATGGCCAAAGTGCTATCACAAGTAATTCAAGATTTACAGGGTGCCTGAGAAGTAGAAGGTGGAGATAGTAACCTTATACTTCAAAGACACATGGTACCAAGGGTTACAAGCGCAAGCTGGTGGAAGGGATTGGAAGATGTTCAAAAGAAACCATGCAGGAGATTTGGAGAACCTTCAGTGGCAAACATCATTAGTGAGTTCAACAAACTCACTTAAGAAGGATCTCTATAGGAATACCAAGAGAGATTTGAAGATTTGAGGTCCATGATGTTGAAGATCAACCCAACATTGAATAAAGCTTATTTCATCTCCAGCTTTCTTAGCAGTCTGGATGAGGAACTTCAGCCCATCATCAGTATATATAAATCGCATAGCCTTAATATTGCATATGAACAAGCCCTCTTACAAGCCCAACACATCAAGACAATCATGCGGCATCATAAAGGTACCTTTCGAGCACCCTGTTATTCACAGAAATACTCAGTTCCTAATACTACTTATACATGCTTAAAAATATATGAAGTAATTCTCACCACAGACTTATTAATCCAAATATTTCCAAACCAAGGTCATTTGGAAACAAGATGCACAACAATGTCTGTTGTAGATTTGGCGAAAGATAGTTTCCAGGACATCAGTGTAAGAATAAGCAACTTCTGATATTGGAAGCTGCTGCATAAAGGAAGAAGAGCCAAGGGGAGAGGAAGAAACCAAGAACCTTCCAGAGGAAGCCTCCAAGGTATGAGAAAATATAGACACCAAATTTGCCCTTCTTCTTCATGGACAGCAGGAGCGCACATATATTTCTCAACTATCGGGTGGCAGAAAAATATGGAATGCGACTGATCAAGGCCCAACACACAAGGTATTAGTGGCCAATGAGGAAGCCTTGATCAGCCAACACCAAACCATTGTCTTCCACTAGAAAATGCAGAAAATATGGTATAATGAACCATTAAGGTGATGGAGGTGGGGTGTTAAGAGATAATATTGGGAACAAACACAACGAAAAGTCATTGCTCGCCACAACCCATTTGGTTCTCTAGTGCTCCTAGTTAAAAAGAAAGACGGCTCTTGGAGGTTATACATCGATTATAGGTAACTAAATTCAATTATAGTGAAAAACAAGTTTCACATACCTGTGATTGATGACTTTATGGACAAATTACATGAAGCCATGATCTTTTCCAAAATAGACTTGAGATCAAGTTATCACCATATTAGGATGAATCCTAAAGACATGTACGAGGCAGACTTTCTTACACACTACGACAATTTCAAATTCAAAGTCATGTCTTTTATACACTGGCCACATGATGATTCAAATTTTCTAGCCCTATATGAGAAGGTTTGTGTTAATTTTTTTTGATGATTTTTTTATTTATAATAGGACAATGGAGTAACACTAGGAGCACTTAGAAAAAAATGTTTCAAACACTGAAGCAACATAAGTTGTTTGCGTGCAAATCCAAGTGTTGCTTTGGGAGGAGGACAAATAGAATACTTGGGGCCATCATCATAAGAGAATGTGTTTGAAAAACTCGTCGAAGATTGAAGCTATGATCACTTGGTCGAAACCCATC